TCCCACATCCCCTTCTCCCTTGAGCAACCTCACTCGTTTCTTGACCTCTAACCATCGTCGCTGACAGGATGTCGCACCGCCCGCCGCTCCGGGCGCTGTCCATGCAGGCCTCCTCCGCCGGCGCGGGCGCAGGGGGAGCCGGGCCGGCGTCGCCTGAGTATGCCTCCGCGCGGTCGAGCGTGCAGCTGAGCGCCGACCTGAGCAACGACCTTGCCTTTCTCGAATCTCTCAGGGCCAGTGTACGCGCCAATCTGATGCTGCGACCTCTGGAGGGCGGGAGGCCGTTGAGCTTTGCGAGCGAGAGCACGACGAGTCCGACGGATTCCATGTACTTTACGCCGACCAGTGCGACCTTTTCAACGTACTCGCACGCTTCGGATACGGACAGGGAGGATGATGGAGAGGAGGAGTCGGAGAGGGAGGTGGAGAAGGAAAAGGTGGAGGAATACAAGCCGTTCATGTTGAGCGCGGAGAGCATCGCGCGCAGGCTGTCCGCGCCTCTGCGCCCGCTGCTGCTCGACGTCCGGCCATCAGCAGACTTTGAAGAGCAACACATCCGCGGATCCATATCCCTGCCCATCCCGCCTATACCGCGCTTAAACTCTCTGGGTGCCTTGCGCGCGCATATCTCGTCGTCTGAGGGCAAAGCGTTTTGGGACGAGGCGATGCAGAGCGCCTGGTGGGACGGCGACCTCGTGCTCGTCTCCAAACAGGGCGAGATGGACGCCAACCTCTCCCGATTAATCCAACTTCTCGCGCCCCTGCTCGACCGCGGCACGCCCGATCCCCTCGCCGGCGGCTTCGCAGCCGCACTCGAACACCCAATGATGGCAGAGCATCTCGTATCGCCATCTGCACAACAGGGTCTGCTCACGAGCGAACCAGACGAGATATCTATACCCGGCGCTTGGACAAGTCCAGTCGCTACTACAAACGCACGCGGACTATCCATCAATCCTCCTCTTCCCTCCCAATCACCCGATGACGCCCATCCGACAGAAACAGAAGGCGCCGATCCCCGCTTCCCGCCTCGTACGCCCCGCCCTGCACCTCAAACGGCTTCCGGCCCGGCCCTGCCGCCGCCCGTCCTCGGTCTTCCACCTCGAACACCGAAGAGTGCTCAGCAACGGTCTGCTTCTGGCTCTTCGCCTGCTGCACCGCCTATACCGCGGCAGAACTCTCAGACCACACCGAGGTCATCGTTGCCTTCTCTCCCTTCGCTCCCTCCACCCGTAAGCGAGCTGCCGCCTGTACCAGCCACAGCTGCCCCCGCCCTCGGTCGAAAGAAGCCCGCTGCATTGGCACCGTCTGCACCGTCTACGTCTTCTCAAGATACCGCTCAAGGAGAGAGAGACCGTACCGCAGGACTCGGCCAGGAATTGACAGTACCCGCATCCATCGGACCCGGACCTCGCTCAGCACGCACACCCAAGTTCCGCGGCGCAACGCTTCCTCTACTCAATACCTCCGCTAAACCGAAGAACCTGCCCGAGATCGAGCGTTCGGCCGCTGCATCTGCCGTCGCACAACATCCTTGGGACGGTCCAAATGCCAATGCGAACGGGAATGGGAATAAGGACAGCGAAGGGGACAGCGAGCTATCGTATCTACGCGACGAACACGGACACGGACCTCTACCCTCCATCAACGCGCCCACGCCACTATCAAACAGCCCTCCGCCCCTGCACACGTCCCTCTTCGCGGACAACACCAACAAAACGCCCTCCGCCACGACCTCATCACACAGTACACCGGCCGCAACGCCCGCGCCTGTACTCGGTAAACCCACTCTCCGCAGACTCGACACCCGCTCGGCTGAGCGGTTGCCGAAGTTGTCGTTGAAGACGGCGCTGGGGCCGATGCCTGGACGCGGACCGCTGAAGAGCGCGACGCTCGCTGCGCCGCCTAGTACGGCGGGCGGATTGGGAGGGAGTAGGGCTTGGGGGAGCTGGTCGCAAGGATCGGCGCACCCCGGTGGGCCGTCCGATACGACTGCAGGATCATTCGGTGCGCGCAGAGACGCGAGCGCCGAGAGCAGTGGCGAGGAAGGGAACGGGAATGGGCACGGAGGGCAGTGGCTTGATAGACCTGCACGACCATGGGCACGCACATCGCCCAGCCCGAGCCCGCCACCGCTTAAACTGACACATTCGTTCCACCGATCGAAATCGCCGCGCACGAATACGTCTCTCCTACCGCCCGAAGGACACCGTTCTGGTCCATCATCGCGGAGAGGATCAGACGACGACGGGCCGCCGCCTACGCCCAGCGCGTTTGGGTTCGGGTTTGGGTCGGGTGGATTTGGCGCGGCAGGAGCGGGACAGGCGTACGAGCGACCGCCGAGCGCAGCGTCGAGCTCGAGCGGGACGGAGAGCGAGGGCGGGATGTCGAGTTCGTCGACAACATCGCCCGAAGAGCACTGGCCCTCCGAACCGCCCAAATTCGGCTGGCCGTCAGAAGCGCAGCGCAGCGGGTGGCCCTCATCGTCCGATTCGGGTTGGCCAGGCGGCGGGAGTATGGAGTATGGCGATGAGGCGCGGACGCCGACGAGCGCGGTGCATATGACGCATGGGGGTGGGGGAGGGAGCGATAGTGATGGGGAGTGCGAGAGCGCCGAGGGCGAGGCGCCGAGGTTTGTGCTGAGCATGATTTTGCCGGGGTTTTTGTTTTTGGGGCCCGAGCCGACCGAGGTGCGTCCCTGCTCTCCCTTGTTTATCTTCATTGTGAATGCGAAGGTTGATTGTGCGTGTTGTAGGAGGCGCATGTGGAGGAGATGCAGGCTGCGGGGATTACAAGGATCTTGAACCTCGCGACCGAGTGCGGCGCGGACGACTGGGGGTTGAAGTTGGGAGAGAGGTTCCAGTACCGCAAGATCGGGATGAGGGATACGGTCGAGGAGGACGGTGTTACGGGTGGTGTGCGTGAGGCGTGCGAGGTTCTAGGTGCGTCTTCTTCTTCCCTTGCAGACATGTTGAGAGTAGTGGTCAATGCTGATGCGCATTGTGTGTATAGATGACGCGGCGCTGCACAGTGCGCCGACGTACGTACACTGTAAAGCGGGCAAGAGCCGCAGTGTCACGGCCGTCATCGCGTACCTTATCCATGCGAATGCGTGGACACTGAGTAGAGCGTACCAGTTCGTCCTCGAACGCCGCAAGGTCACTCCCTTCCCTCCCCCCTCCCCTCCCCACCAGTCTCACTGACCACATCGCAACATTGACAGGGCATCTCACCCAACATCGGCTTCGTCTCCGAACTCATGAACTTCGAAGAATCAGAACTAGGCGGCAAATCCGTCGGCGTGATCAAAGACGCCGCCACGCCCTCTGACTCTTCCTCCTCCTCCAACGCCAATCACTCACAGGGACAAAAGTCGTTGGTCGGAGCGCGGAGGCCGGCGCATATAAGAGAGTCTTTGCCGCCGGCGTTCACGCTTAGCGCGGATGCGTTTGAGTTGGGCGAGGTGGATGCGTTGGGGGCGGGCGCGGAGACTGAGGTGCGTTTTTTGTGCTTTTGCGTTGACATGCGGGAAGGAGAGGCTGATGAGGAGTCTAGATTCGTGATGCGAATGGGCGGTATAGGTTCGCGAGGCGCGCGCCGGTCGATGCGCATACGCTGCAGCCTAGTCGGCGCGTTAGCAAAGCCGGGCTCGAGAGCGGCGGGTGGGAGGTCGAGTGATCTGTCTCGCCTCTCTCATTCGCCGGTCGCCGGATCAGTTGCACCACGGATATCATGGATCGCGCGTACCGGTCATCTTAAGTTTATCTTATCGGAACATTCTCTCTTTCGCCTTCTGTGTCGGTCATCCATACGTATACCATTCGACTGTGACCATCATCTGGCATCTGGAACGCATTCTTGTTGTTTGTTCATTCCTCATTGTTATACCTTCGTCTTTCGTGTGCATACTTTCTTGTAGCTCTGTTTTATCTTATTCGGACATCGCGCTTCGTGACTAATACTCTCGGCCGTCATTCGTGGGTAGTATCTGGGGCGGCGTCTACTTACGTTGTGCGGTCAGCCGCTCGAAGATAAGCTTGTATGTGGCAATGTGAGTGACCGTCTTCCTGCACCGGGAACACGGGAGAATTTCCGCCACAAACTTGAAGGGCGGGAATGGAATGATTGCAGAGGTTACTCCCTGTTACTCCACCGTTCACCCTGAGCTCTTGATGAGCAGATCAGAACCAGTACGAGCTTGAAACACTACTCAGAGGCCACACTCAGCACTCCTGAAACCTTTTAGTGGCAGTACGTAAGCTGTAGCGAGGACTGCCGAGGGGAACGCGGGAAAAATGTGTGTAGTTTTCTAGATCTTCGGACTTGGGTGTGGGGACCAGTGTACGTCAGTGGGCGCAAGCCACGGTCCGAAGCTCGCGGGAAAAAAACGCGAGCACAGCGCGCTGTCCTGGCGCCACTGGCAACTTGGCTCCTGCTCCCATGTCGTGCTCTGCTGAGCGCTATTTACACGGGTTCCCGTGCTGCATTCTGCTCTGGTATACACTACATATGGATGATGTCTGTCAAGAAACCGGCCGAAGTCTTGAAGATCCCTGCAAGTCTCTCCCGGGCCCTCCGCGCATAGGTTCTCACGTGTTGGAAGATTGGACGCCAAGTGTTTTACGTTCTCTATCTTCGAGTACCTTCACCATTCATTACAATCCCGTTCTCGATGGTGATGGCGATACTCGTGATACACGGTCAATGTGCGCCAGCAAGTATGGACGCTGAATGCCTTCGCCTTCCCACCACTGACCAACCATGTCGTCTGCACCAGGTAGCTTAGTGACAGGTTCGTGGCAGATGATAATTTAATGTTCAGACGTACGCTTTGCGTGTTGGTGCCGCGATATGAGTGCTCAAATTGAAAATCTTGTGTTTAGACGCTAGACAAGTGTTGTCATCTTGCCGAAGACAGCGGTACTTGGGATTCCTCAGCGAACCTGGTATGATTCCCGTGAAGCACTAGTGTTTAGCAACTTCTACTTATCGCGCTCGTTTACTGGACTCGGTAGCCACGTACACGTTCTTTCTCGCGCTGGCTGTGGAATACTCTGCTGCGATGCGGGATCTTGGCATCTACGCCACGCTAGAGCGCCCATAACCCCCTTCGGTAGTCATCACAAGCGCCAGTTATAGTCGTGGGGGCGAGATGTCTGTATGGGCATATTATTTGTCCTGGTGCCATGTGCCCGCATAGCTTGTGATGATTCCTAGGAGGCTGAGAGTGGTGGCGTTCGCCGACCACACACAGGTCCCTCCATCTCTCCCGTTGATGCAGTTGCGCAGACATATGGCGGGAACTGTCCCCAGGTGCCGTGCATGTTCAAAGCGGCGCACTGAGGCGTCTTATTGTATCATTCGGGCGTGTTGAGCGCCGAAGATCCTTGCATCGTGGGCTAAAAGTTTCGAGAACGGCGTGCCACTTATCCTTGTGTTTCTCTTATTTGAGTATTGACCCTTTTCAAGGCGACGAGTCCAGACGACCGGGCACATCCCCTCTGCCGAAGACACGCTGTAGCGCCTCCACCTTCGATGCATGATCGCTCCAACGACGCCAGACGTACGCGTCTATCGGTCTCAAGGGGTGGTCAGAGCTGAAGACGGTCAAGGCTGATAGGTCAGATAAGATTGGGTACAAAAGCATCGCCGCACATGTGCGTGAACAGCGTCGCTCCTGTCAGAGGCCACATCCCTTTGCCGCGACATCGCCCAACCTGCTTTCATCTCCTAGCGCACTCGTAACCACTTGACACGCATCGCTCTAAGCATCCCTCGGCCTCGTTGTGGGCAAGCATGGCTGCGAGTGCTCTCCCTATCCCTATGTTAACGGCACAGTACGGGCGGCGAACGCAACCTCGCCATAGCGAAGGCACGATAGATACTAGCGAGCGTTCGAATGACAACGGTGCGTCTTGTCGCAATCGTTGATGAAGATGCTGAGACCTTTACATACAGGGTTCTGGATGGACGACCACTCCAAATCATATACCGTCCTACCCGTGCCTGCGCTCACGAACATAACGAAACTTCGCCGACGTGCACGCGATCGTGCTTCCCGTTCTGCCCTGGTATGCCCTCCACGTTACGATGTACGGCCGCAGAATGTTCTATTGAATCGCAGTACAGGCGATGTACTTCGGTTCTATGTGCTTGAGTATCGTCTCAGACGCATTCACACTCGGAGGTAACGCGCCGATGCCACCAGTGCTGATGGCAGCTACTGTCAGTGGCGCCGTGGGAAGCGTCTTCGTCGCCGCTGCTTTGTTGTGTGAGGACGGTCACGGAGGAAGGGTGTTCATCATCCTGAGTATGATCTGTTCGGCAGTCGGAACGGTGTGTGTAGTGGCGGGCATGCAGAATTGGATTGCCACAACGTCCACTGGTGTCTGCACCATGATGGCTATTGGCGTAGTCCTATCATCGAGAGCATCGAGAGACCAGAAGTGGATATACACATGTTGACATACCCAACATCCTACATACGTTCATCTGCAACGAGGAGTAATCGAGCTTGTCTCCGTCACTCTTCTTGTAGTCGGTCGCCAGACTAACGTTCATCGCCCTCTGTGGCACTGCATCGGATCCCAGATGATGAGAAACCTATGATGGCCTTTTCAACCTTTATCAATCTCGCATACACGTACTGTATGACTATACGTAGTGATCACAACCAATCCGGATCAGGCATAGATTGCCGATAGCGAAGGAGTTTTGACGAAACCATTGAACGCGCGATGCCAGATTCGGGAGCGGTTTAGCAACATGATCGCATTCACTGTGCAGCAGTACTATAGAACAACAGCAAGATTAAAAGGTATGATGACAGTTGTCTTTCGATTGCCCACACATTTACTGGAGATGCGTCTGGATGACTTGCGAGAACTTTGGTGAGACTTTGGCTAGCACATCGACCGACTCGTTCTAGGGGGAGATTAGTCCGGTAGACAACAAAGAAGACTGTCGACGCACCCAGAGTCGTTTCTGGGTTGCATAACCCTCTTCCGAGATGGCCCAGTCACTTTCCTCCGTGATCTCCATGTACGACGTGTACGCGCCATGCATTCTCTCCTCGCAGTGGCGCAAAGCAACGGCGGTCCACGCAACCCTCCTTCCACCTTGCTCGGTCGTATTCCCGATGAAGAAGTCCATGAGAGACATGCGCAAGCTGGCTAGGAAGGGCATGTTCCTTCGCAAAGCAGAGTAACAGTATCCGGGATTCAGGCAGTTGACGATGAGTTTCGAATGAGGTACGCGCGCAGCTAGTTCGCGGACGAACAAGACGTTAAGGACTGCTGACGCGTGAGCCTGCTGCTCGGAGTAGGCAATTGGGGCACTTACGCTTAGATACGGGGTACCGTACCGCCATAACTCCGGGTTCCTTACAGTGCTCGGCGTCGTTGATCTTGAGTAGGTAGTTGGGGCTGGAGAGTTGCTCTGGTGTTGGCTTGGTCCAATAGTGCACGGCACTCGAGACGACGGTGATGCGGGGACGGTGAGAGGCAGACGCAGTAGCCTCCGACGTCTTGAGCAGGAGGGGGAGAAGGCCGACGCAGACTAGCGCGCACGACAGGTCGTTGACTTGAATCCTACGTGGTCATAAGCAAAGACATTTGACACCCAATGAAGCAGAACATACGTCTCCTCGAAGCCATCACCAGTAGCTCGATACTGCCCCGTAGCAATTGCGGCGTTGTAGATCAAGATGTCAAGCCGCTCCTCCTTACTCTCGAACTCCTCGATGAATGCGTTGACCGACGAGAAGACTGACAGGTCGACGGCGTATGCCCCTAAGCGACTGAAGCCAGTCTCCTTCTGAATCTCTGCAGCGTCCTCCGTATCAGCACTTGACCGGCGATAGGGCGGCGCTATGACGGACCTTTCCCTGCATCCTCCGCCTTCTTGATGCTGCGACATGCGAGCACGAGCTTGCCCGGCTCCATCCTGGCGAGATGCTTCGCGGCTTCAAGTCCCAAGCCGACGTTGGCGCCGACTACGAGTACAGTTTGGCCCGACAGATCTTGTTTCTCCAGCTCGGGGGTGGTATACCACTGTTCAACAGCGAAGCGAGAGAAGGGGTAGCGACCCATGATGCGTCGGATTCGTTAGGGGTGGTGAAGGAGCAACCTAAAGGCGATGAGACGAATGTCAAGCAGACACAGACTCTTATAGCAACGCACTGTGTAAGACGCATTTGCGTGGATGACCCCTGCGATCCACCTCGATCGTGTATCTGGAAGAAAGCACGTGAGTCAGCACTTTGACGTGATGCTCAAAGCGCACACTTGAAAGCCACGGCGCTCCCGTCGGCTGCGCTAACTCTTACCTACTTTGCCATGCGTCCTCGGATTTACAGTAATCTGGAACGTATAGCTGGGTAAGGAGTACCCACCTGTACAGTGACGAGGCCATCCGGCTACATTAGCAGCGATAGCAATAGCCACATTATCCGGCCAATGGCGGGTGTTCATATTCCGGCGTGGCTAGTTCCATAAAGGTGGGTACAGAGGTAGGTCTGAGCGTATATCATCAGCCTAGAGTCGAGACGGCGACAATTGACGCGCTCAAGCGCACCGAAGGAAGGTATCAACGGCGACCCGACCTCCCCATGCCCTTGCATCTAATTGGGGCAGATATATGCTACTCCTGCCGGTGGATGCCCACTCTGAGCACTGGATGGACTCCGTGCACCTTTAGGTGAGGAAATAGTCAATCTCATCTTGACGCGTGGCAATCTTTGTGTCGTCGAGCATATTGCGGGCGAGTGGCGTAAAGCACCCGCCGACCATCTCTTGAAGCACAAGCCGAAGTTATACGTAGCCGAGCTCATATCATGTGAGGAAAAGTTGAAAGTATATATCAAAGGGAGAGCAGAGTGCTCGAGGCTCGTGGTGGTAGTGGAAGACAAGCATAGCCGCGTCTGTCGCGCCGTGTCTACATACAGCCCACGCGCGATGCTCTGCGCGCTCAGCATAAAAGGCTCGTATTCCTCCGCCTTTTCCCTCTCCGCCTCCCGCTCCGACTCCTCCTCTCCATCATCCTCCCTGTCCGTATCCGAAGCGTGCGAGTATGTCGAAAAGGTCGCACTGGTCGGCGTAAAGTACATGGAATCCGTCGGACTCGTCGTGCTCTCGCTCGCAAAGCTCAACGGCCTCCCGCCCTCCAGAGGTCGCACTATCAGATTGGCGCGTACACTGGCCCTGAGAGACTCGAGGAAAGCGAGGTCGTTGCTCAGGTCCGCGCTCAGCTGTACGCTCGACCGCACGGAGGCATACTCAGGCGACGCCGGCCCGGCTCCCCCTGCGCCCGCGCCGGTGGTGGAGGCCTGCATGGACAGCGCCCGGAGCGGCGGGCGGTGCGACATCCTCGATACAGTCGGCGATGGTTGGAGGTCAAGGAACGGCGGGAGGGTGCTGAAGGGATAAGGGGATGTGGGTTGTTACGTAAGGCTGTACTACGGCCTGCTCGCCACCCATCAGCGCATCCATCTGCCAACACATCAATTCAACATCAGCGCCCGCAGCACCCTCGTCGTCGTGTGCGACGCGGATCGGACTTTGCTTTCTTCCTCGTACCACCACCACTGCACTCTTACATTGTACTCGACTCTTGCAATAGATGTGCTTGCTATGATCATGAGCGAGGCATTTGTCATCGGCTTGGTCGATGATGACGAGTCCGACTTGCCCGACTTCATCGTCGCGTGCGCATCGTTGCGCATACAACGACCTCGCAACGTAGCCATTGCACCATCTCAACACCGCCGCCTCGACCTCTCTCGACTGGTTGTATCGGCGGCCGTTCGTCAGAGCTACATATATCGATTCGAGACTCACGATACCCTATGACTGGTGACTGCCGCTCTCCATGCACTACGGGCCAATGCAGCTCGTACTAGCAAGGTCGACGTCTGGTAGGAATGAGAGGGTTGCTTGTTTCATCATCCCAAAACGCATCACCCCATGCAGGGATCATCTTTTCTTCGTTGATGCGACCGTCATGTTGAGTGCACGTGGCGGCAGGCTATTCGCGACGTTGAAAAGTCGACCTGCATGTAGGGCTTCTGTCGGCCAAAATGGTAGTTCGCGGTGTCACGCCAGCGAAGATGCGAGCGAAACTCGCCGGTGATGGTAGATGGGACTGGTCGATACGAGAACGCAACACCGCTCGCCACATCGGGCTTGCCTCGGTGATCTTTCCCGTGCCCGAGCCGCGCCCAGTGCGCGGCGTCGAGCCTCTCTATCGCGTACCAACGGTCGAATTGTCTCAATACTTCTAAGATACATACATAGTGAGGTTGTGCTGAGGATGGCATGTGTCAAAATCTGTCAGAATACAGTATGATACGTGCCTACGACTATATAAGGACTGAGATCAAAAGCCTCGGTTTGAATAAGATGCAGAAGAGAACAAGCGAGAGTGCCATTGTAACCTATCTCATTGAATAGAGTACAAGCAAACCCCCTAATGTGATGCTGTGTTGAAGCAGCACTGTCGTGAATATGACACTGCGTCTCTCGATCGGCTAGTGCAGTTGAGTTCTTGTGAGTGAACCTGGACCTTTCCCGCGCAGACAAACCCTGATCCAGGCTGCTAATATAAAACTCATATACCTGATGAGATTGCATGCTTGACGATCTATTCAAAACTTGATAACCCCAAATTCTGCATAATCGGCCTTGTGTGCATTACGGCCCTTATATTACCTAGCTTGACTAGGTTTCCCAGCCTCGAAATCCGTCCAGGCACTGGGTCACCGGAGTTTGCCGCTTCGCGCCGTGATCCGATCTCCAGTTTATCCGGCGCCATCCAAGCGTCGCCTGTACACCTCTCTCCGGCACTCGACAAGGTGCGCTTCGAACCGACTGAGTAGATACGAGAACACATAAGACGAATTGATCAGAATCGAATGTCTGCAATGCCTAAGATGGGGTGGGGGCTGGGGAAAAGGTCACTGCACACGCAGTTGAGGCCTCTGCTTCTGAACAACGTCGTGAATAGCCGCGACCACAATTATCTATTTGCACTCAACGTCTTACTCAGCAACTTCGTACTTAGAGCGAGCTAAGTTTCAGCTGACGTAGTCCCGCGTTCCATTTGATGAAAATGATATAAAAAGGTTTGCCACGTGCGGGGGTGCACGCACCAAGCCGCCGGACTCTGAACCCTTGCGCAACTGATCCTATCAAAAGCAACTCGAATAAGGTCTTTGTGTGCACGGCCCCGTGGCCTCGTGGGTCTTCAAGGGCTCATTATCCCCCCACTTCCTGCGCCTGCTCGTCTTTGGCAAAGCCCATACGTGTATATCTCAGGCCGCGCACATACCTCGCACTACCACAATGAATACAAGCTTCGATGCCTCTTCAGACACACATATCGACATGCCCGAGCCGTTGCAAGTACTCGCTAGACAACCGGGGTTATATAATGGGTACAATGGGGGTGAGCATGGTCATACTGGCCGCCGAGCCTCTTGCATTCACAAGTCTGACTGCCAATCAATACATCATTAGACTATCATTATCAAGCCCCCATTCTCCAATCAGCGCCACCAGCGCGCGTGGCCCGAGCGAACTTGTCGGCTGAACGTACATCTGCGAAGGTAAGTAATTAGGTCACCCGGATTCCCCGCCCATGTGGACAATGAGTATCAATCTGAACTGATCAACGCACATAGGCTCTGTATTACGGTTCGATGTGCATAGGCATCATGGCGGCGGCACTTGCTCTTAGCAACACTCAACCTATGGCGCATACATTGGTAGCGGCGACGGTGTTCGGAGCCATAGGGAGTGTGTTCATCGCAGCAGCTTTGCATTGCGCGCACAATCGTGGAGGTAGACAGTTCATGATGCTGGGCTTCTTGTGCGGGGTGATAGGTACGGTTTGTGTCGTCGCCAGTCTCCAGTACCCAGTAGCCACGATCCTGACGTGTGGGTGCATGATTGTGACTGTGGGTGTGGCCTGGTCCTTAAGTGCTTGACGGGCTGATGCGTTGATGTGTTGATGATCGATGACGCATGCTTGTTCGGTTCCTAATACGGATTTGTATAGATCGACTGCGGACTGAGCATCTACTTTGTAGCTTGAGTATCCCTTGTAGCCTCCGGTTTGTGTGGTATCAATGACTTCGTTTGCACAGCATGGAGGGTGAAGAACTCAGAGAAGGGATGAGCGATTGGAGAGCGAGCTGCGATGGTGGTGGTCGAGGTCAAGTCGCCGTGCACGTGTGAACGTCTGTCGTGCGCGCTGCGCCTGACGCGGCGTGCGCGCCCACTACTCTCGTGCCTTCTCGTGCGCGCGTTCTTTCTCGCGAGCCACCACCGCGACGTCCAGCTGTCAACCGGCTTCGCCAAGGAGAATAGACAGATTGCCTCCTTCTCCAACCCCCACGGGCCGTCGCGCGGTGTTGATGTATCAACGCCGCAATGTGCCACCCCGTGAATCGCTCAGGCTCGTTTACGACCACAACCCTAGCGGATGGCTAGCAGCCTCGAGAAGGATGCAAGCGATACGGTTGTATCAGTCTGCGCCTACTCCAGGCTTGATCAACATGGCGTTGGCATGATGGTTATAAGCGCTTGTTTATCCATCTACTTATAGCTGTAGGATTCACGGCCGCTAGGTGCTATGATTACACTCCAACGTGAGTGATCTTGAGAGCATTCGTATGCGTACACATATATCAAAACGCGTTGAGTACCCGAACCGCGCACCATTACCGTCTCCGTCCTGAAGCCCTGATATGCGACCGCAGAATGACCGCAGCCGTGAGAACCATGCATATACCCGTGATCGACGTCGCCACCCAGTCCTGCATGCCCGCAACAACACATACAGTGCCCACCGCCGAGCATAACACAATCAGGATCACAAGCTCGGTATGGTTGCTCTCCTGCCCAGCCTCGCAGTATAGAGCTGCCGTCACAAACATGCTCCCAATCGCCCCACACACAGTGGCCGCGACGAGCATGCGTGACAAGGGCGCGCTTCCACCAAGAGTCAGTGCAGCCGCGACGATGCTTAAGCATACGGAGCCACAGTAAAGTGTCTATCTGAAACATCAGCCTAGGGCTTCTGGTGCCATGACAGAGGACTTGCCGTCGTTGAATACGAGTCTTCATCAGCACTTCGGCGAGCGAACTCAACGGCACTCAAACGAACTCAAACGAACTCACCGCACTCAAAATCGGTTTGAGTTCCTGAGTGCGATGAGTTCGATGAGTTCGAGGGGAGGTGCTGTCCCGCCGGAATTTTTGCATAGACTAGGTATATATGTATGAGTAGAGTACGAATATCAACTTTTGCGCCTACCTTTGACGGTGTATAGCCGTAGAAACGAGGGGAGGCGAAGCCGCCGGAACGCGAGCGGGAGGCGGAGATGAGTGTGGGCGCAACATGATGACTCTTGAG